CGTCGAGGAGTTGCTACCAGACCACAGTCAGTAACAACAAGCAGATGGCAGAGAGGGAGTTGAAAGGTAAAGAGGTGAGGCCTGATCGACCAGGAGGATCACGATCGAAAGAGGAGAGAGGAGGACAAGATAAGGGGAAGGAGAAGATAGATATACAGCCCGAAGAGGAGATTGAGGAAATTCAAATGGTGCAGAGATGCGATGACCGAAAATTCAGAATCGGAAAAGATTTGGGGAAGCCGGTCAGGTCGAAGTTGATCAATTTAATATGGGAATTTACGGACATCTTCGCGTATACAACGGACGAGCTGACAGGGATCGAGGCCAGGGTGATTGAGCACAGACTTAATATTGATCTCAGTGTCAGACCGGTGAAGCAAAAGAGAAGGCATCATGGTGCGGAGATGGACAAAATCATCGAGCAGGAGGTCGACAAGCTGTTGAACGCTGGACACATTAAAAAGATTCAGTTCCCCGAGTGGTTATCCAATACAGTAATGGTGTCCAAATCAGGAGGAAAGTGGAGGATGTGCATCGATTTCCGTGATCTAAACAAGGCTTGCCCGAAAGATCTTTACCCGCTGCCAAGGATCGACCAGCTGGTAGACTCCACGGCAGGATGCGAGTTGCTTAGCCTGATGGACGCCTCTCAGGGATATCACCAGATCCCCTTGGCAAAAGAAGACTAGAAGAGGGTGAGTTTCATAACAAGCAAGGGCACCTATTGCTATGTAGTCATGCCATTCGGACTAAAGAATGCCGGGGCCACCTACCAACGTCTCGTCGACCAAATTTTCAAAGACCAGTTGGGGAGGAATATGGAGGTGTATGTCGACGACATGCTGGTGAAAAGCAAGAAGGAGGACGACCACGCGGCTGACCTGAGGGAGACCTTCCAGACACTAAGGAGGTTTGGCATGAAGTTCAACCCGGCTAAGTGCTCGTTCGGAGTAAAGTCGGGAAAGTTCTTGGGGTACATGGTGAGAAAGCGAGGGATAGAGGTGAATCCTGAAAAAGTAAAAGCGGTGATCGAAATGAAGCCGCCGGCTAATGTGAAGGAGGTCCAAATACTAACTGGTCGAATAGCGGGCCTAAGCAGGTTCATTTCCAAGGTGGCCGAAAAGAGCAGCCCTTTGTTCAAAACCCTGAAGAAGAGCTCGAAATTTCAGTGGACAGAGGAAGCCCAAAAAGCCTTCGAGGAGTTGCAGAGGACGCTGGCTAACTTGCCCTTATTGGCCAAGCCGATTCATGGAGAGGAGCTCGTGCTCTACATATCGGTGGGCGAGAGTGCTGTAAGCTCAGTATTATTTAGGGGTGGGACCGGTCCGGTTATCATCCAAAATTTTGAGAACCGAAATTTGAAGCATGTGTAAATTTTCGGTTCGGTTACTCTTTAATTTTTATCAAGAACCGAAAAAGAATCGAACCGGCCATTTTCGGTTCGGTTCCTCCGGTTCTTTGGTTAACCGGATACAATG